GTTAAATCACCAAAAAGTATAACATCAGCTGATGATCAGCCAGTTTTCTCTTATTTATCTGATGACCTCGTCCCTTTAGCCACCTCCCATCCTCGTCATAGACCACTTTGTCATTCTTTACCTTCACCATAACCTATTCTAATGTTATTTTTACCATGGAGTCTTGAGACAGAGACAGAGGCCTCATTTATTCAAGATGAGTCACCATAAATATTTGCCTGGAGTCGTCTGTTTACCATCTGCTGTCTTTAAACGAAGCTCCACACAAAGCTGATACTGGCAAAACCTCATCGTGCTCCGCTCTCGGAGGGACTGGAGAATTATATAATCTCCCAGCGAAAACGGCTCATGTCCAGATTTTTTCAAACAGAAGCGAACAAAGTGTTTTTGTGGATCGGAGGAAGTCAGGCTGCTGCTGACATCAACACGGTGGCGGGGTAACCACATTTGCTCTGAAAACATGAATGAAATTGAACAGATGTGATTCGTACAGAGTGTGTGTGTGTGTGTGTTGAGTCTGCTCTCACTGCACACTTGAACATTGCTTTTGAGTACAAAGTGCCGGCTTCAGCCAAGTGTGGATTTACTCAGCTTTGTGCATGAGAGGACAAATGTAGTTTCTGACACAAAGGATATGTGTGATTCCACCAGCAATTTTTTAAAGCTCTTTTGCTGCAGTTTTTACTCACCAGCATCGATGATACACTCCATTAAGTTCTAGTGTTGACTCAGCGGTAACAAAGAGGCAGAAATGAAGTTATTAAAGTGGAGGAATATTTGTATTTATGTTGATTTACTGAGACAAGGATAATTTGCAAAATCTAAAGCTAAAAAGGTTTATATTACATCGGCTATGCAGATGATTGACATCATCTTAAGAAGGATTAAGGTTTTAAACTTGTTTTTATGTGAACTAATGGAAGAAACTGGCCCACATGTGTCTGTACATGCCAACAGGAAATTACCCAAAGGGTCACATACAACAGAAATATACTACAATGGCATTTCCATTTATATCTCCTCTTCTTCGTTCTTGACAATGATTTGCATGTAATTAAACACATTTGGAGTTGACTGAATACAAACTATTTGCCTCTAAGGTATTCAGCTGAAATGCAATCAAAAGTGAACTAATTTGTCTAGATGTAAAAATTTTATGATTAAGCATGAATCCCTTGGCCTTCAGGGCAACAATAAGATTTGCATTTAATAAAGAGTTGAGTATCAATGCCTCTGATGACTACAATTAAGAAGGTATACATAGGGATGACATGCATGTAGAATTTCACTAAAAACGAATCATCAGCTTTTGCAGGATACTAATGTGTTTTCCTCTCTACAGGAAAATGTGTGATTTTGATTCTGTAGACATTTCAAATGTTTCATCTGGATGCTGGAACGCCTGGTGGCATTTATTACAACACTTATTAAATGCCAGATTGTACTAAAACAAGGGCCTTTCTGAACCCTTGGCGGCTCCATAGCATTGATAAGATCCATACGGAGGTGGTCACATTCAGAGGAGGTCTGGGAAGCATGCGGTCACATTCTTTTCATTGTGTGTACACAAATGCATCCTGGGCCACATTGAAGGAGCTGCAGCATATTTAGCTGACTTCCTCTGACTCGCAACAGATTCACAATTAATCTAAAGTATTTTAGTAAGTGTTTCGTTTACATAGATTTTTTTGTGGCAGCCACCATCATATAAATGCATATTGATTTTCAAATTTTTTTTTTCCCCCCAAATGGGTAAAATCTTATTTCACTGCGCACTGCACATTGATTTAATCGACCTCTCCTGACATGAACACAAAAATATTGACAAAGGACCGATCTGAATAACATCATTTGGGCTTCAAACACAGAAATGATTTATTAATATATCGAGCGGGGAAGTGAGACCAGAACAAAAGTTGTCTGGTGACACCTGTGGAAATAAAGGGTGTAAACTTGTAGCTGAGCACTCAAGAGGCAATTTAGTACCAGGTCTGAACAGGACAGGATCCGTCTGCAACAGGAACCTCCTCACATGACCCTGTTAAGATGAGGCTTTGATCTGATCTCACTCACTAGCCAAGGTGGTTTGGGATGCACATATCCTTTGTATGTTAAATGCTAATGCTAATCTTGTTGGTCCCTGACAAGGACCTAAACAGACAAATGAATGCAGGAAGTGGTGGTTGTTTTATTGACAGCATGGCAACGCACACTCATGTATGTGACTGGAAGGCAATAAAACTTATCTCCATTTAGAAATCAAGACAACACCTATCGATACCTCGGTAATGAGGGATCTTTAGTTGAAGCGAAGAAGGCATTAACAAAATCTGAACAAATTGTCAGCTGGACTCTTTGACGACATATGGACACAGGTGTAAATGGCAACGAGTGGTTGTCCACTCCATTCCCAAGACGCATGTTAGTTCAGGATGTAAGCAGGGTCGATACGAGGCATAACAGCTGATGTTAGAAGAGATTTGTTTAAATTAAAAAAATTAAGCTTTAAGAAGTGTAATTTGCTACCAATTACAAAAATCTATAACCTCTGGGCAAAAGGGTTAGAACAGTTGCTTTACCATGATCCATTGATCAATGGAGTTTGATATGGTCAGCGGTGTTTGTGTAAATGGTGTTGACCTAACGTGACTTAACCTGCCTGGCCAGCTGCTTTGTTATTGAACGTATTGAGCACTTCGGTGCATGTGATGTGGTCATTCAGTCGGCTGGGGGCACATAATTGACGCAGGATCATGGGAGAAAACAGTCAATAAAAGCAACAAACAATATTCTTTGGAAGTTTATCTGTCATGTTCCAAACCCAGTCTAAATGTTGAATGTGTTGAGTTCATGAGAAAGTCATTAAGATAATGGAGAATATTCAAATTCAAGCAAGGTCAAGGTCCTTTTTACTTCCGGGTAATCAAGGTCAAATCTTTTCAGATGAACCATGTGAGTAAAAATACACACAAACAAATACACACACAATCAGAGAGAGCGAGGAAGGGATGAAAGACTGTCGGCTTTTCTTCCTCTCCCTCTCTCTCTCGCCCTCTTTCATGTGCTGATGAAATGAAGCCCTAATGTACAACAGGTGTGCCATCGACACACTACGCTATTTAGTCCTTTTAATCACCTCTCAGCCAATCACAAGCAAATTGGGTTGAACATCTTTTAAATTGATAAAGTAAATGGGTTGTCTGGTGCCCATGAAAAATGAAAGAAGTACAGAAAGAAGGAACCGAAAAGTTAGATTTACCACTCTGTGGTTGTTTGCTTCCACCAGTCCAGTTTCAAGATTTTTTCATGGTAAAAAAGGATTTTGTGAGATCACAATGACCAAATTTGAAGAAATACTACCAAGGCATTCTTGAGAGATCACAAGACCAACTCAGTGTTTAGGGAGATCAATGTGCCCTTGACCTTTTACCCTTTTGACCACCAAAATCTCAAGTCCAACAGAACTTTAGTACCAACTTTAAAGAAATTCCCTCAGGGCATTCTTGAGATATCATTTTCACATTAGTGGTGGAGTGTGGAGCCATAAAAAGCATTATGAATGAAAGAAGAGAACAAATGGATAATTGTATCAAGGAAATTAGGCGAATCATAAAAACGTTACAAACTTCAAATGATAATCCAAGGACATTAACGGTTGTTTTCATCTGAACATTTGCAAGAATGCCACATATGAATAAAAAAATATAAAATCATTTTAAATGATATTTCCCAAGGTAACGCTTGAATTTATCAAAATTGGCCATGGTGATCTTCACAGCTCCCCCAGCAGTCAGCCTCTTAATCAATGCGTTCAAAGCCCAGTGAGCACTTAAATATCAGTTACAGCTCATCTTAAACAGCCCCCTGCACCTCCATTGTGCTACACTGAGGGCCGAGGTGTAAAGGTGTAATGACTTTATCTAGCAGTGATTACATTTGGTTTCGACTCTTTCAGAAGCAATTCATTGCAACTTAACGTGTCATATTCTTTGCATCATAGGACTCAATTAAACTCATCCCAGGGCTTCAGAGAGCACAGGTCAACAAAGGGGAATTGTAAAAAGAAAATCAAATATGTTTAATTAATATTTTTGCACTGGAGGGATCAAATGAGAATGTGTGTCTACCCAACCCTGCTGCAGACTCCTGTTTAAGCCTCTGCATTTTGGCAAGCTCTATCTCGTTTTTATATAACCAGAAGCAACCATATTTGGAGGAGGGGGGGGCAAGTCTGAAAGAGAGCTTGATGACACTGTACACCCACCTGCACCTGCACCCATCGAAAGGTACCAACTGTCAATCACACAGACTCAAAGCTCCTGTGATTTATGATCTATTTTACTCTCAATAGGAGAAGAATTTGTACAATGTTTTGAAAAAAAATATATCTAACACCTATCCCAAGTATATCAAAACTATTTATTTAAAGTATATTTACCCTCAAGAAAAATTTGAGCCACAAAGAAAACCTGATCAGTTCTTAAACTACAAGATGCAAGCTGAACATAAAGAAAGAAACTATACAACTGTATAGTATCACCACAGCACAGGTGAAGAAAACACCTGGTGCTCAGTGTTTTCCCATCTAGTGTGGTTATCCTTTCAAATGATCACAACAAACATGATTTATCACAGCTGTCAACACAATGTCATTCATCACGATGAATTCTAGTTGGTTCAAAACCTGCTTTTGCAAGAAAATATCTCCTCCATTCTAAGTGAACCGAGCCGAGCAGGATTTAAATTGCACTTAGCTGCACTGAAGCAGGACAGCTATTCAAATGCAAGCAGATAAAAAGACAGCAGGATTAAAACTCTCCAAGGAATAGTATGACTTAAGTGGAAAATCATAATGATGGTGTGAGTTTGCAGGAAAGTGGTAGATGTTACTGACTCAGCGCGTGTGCTTGGGAGTGTGTGGTATACATACGGCCTGGGTCAGAATTGGAAATGCTCGTATGTGTGTGTGTGTGTGTGAGAGTGTGACCATGTGGACCTACCTGTTCAAAGTGATGCGGAATAGAAGGCTCCCTCCTGTGAAGCTGGAGCTGCTTGTCAATGTTGTCCTTCAGGCACTGACACACACGGCGCTTCTGGTCTGCTGAAAAGGCTTCCAGGCTCAGCAGGCAGTCACACTTCTAGAGACATACAGGAAGAGAGAAGGGGAGACGGACAGAGAGTGTGAGAGAGAGAGAGAGAGAGAGAGTGGGTGAGGAGCAAGAGGGGTGGAGGAAAAGAAAACGGCCAATTAGGCATCTGCTGTCAGAGAAATAAAGAAGTTCCTCCTTGGATAAGGGTTCAAGACGAGAAGAGCACATGAAAACAAATAAGAGGATTACAATAGAAAATGTGCACGTGTGAAATGAGGAAAATGCAAATGACAAATTTTTTCTCTTGTTTTACTGGAACTGTTTAATGAGGGTCTGGGATGGGAGCTACCAGCGTCCGTCTACCTGTGTGTGTGTGTGTGTGTGTGTGTGTGTGTGTGTGTGTGTGTGTGTGTGAGTGATAGAGGGCAATGAGTGCCATCAGAGACGATAATGCCAAACAAAAGAGCGTAATCCATCACACGTATCAGAGGTCTAACACCTTTCTGTGTGTGAACGAGCATGATAGCAATTCTGCGTGTGTCCAGCGGAATGAAATAAACGATCTCTATAACAAAGACGGGCCCTTCTACCAGCACTGGTGTTAATGTGCACAAACAGCTGCCATCTGAACTTTGTTTTCCCGACACCACACACTGTAAAGTGGTGCAGCCCCGTGGGCATCAAAACGCTAGCATTAGTGAAATTAGATAAGAGCTGGTCTCCACTTCACACAGATTTTGATACGCTGGCAAAATAATTACAGTGCGTGACTAATGGCAAGATGGTACTCCTGAAAGAGAACAAATCAATACGCCCCAGCTGGGAAATGCATTGGAATAAATATCTGACAGCCAGTGGTTAAATTAGAGTTGGTCAAATGGCCTCTTATTGAAAAGAGTATAAATACCCCTGAGCTGACTCTCCAGGACATCCTGTTATCTGTGTTTGACCTCAGTGACGGATCAGATTAAATCTGATTGATCGATTAATGTCCTCGTTTGTGTTTGGTTACGACTCCAGGAATATGCTGTTGATAAAAAAACGATTTATCTCATGTTGATTTGTGCTTTAAACGCTAATTTGGAAACAGCTTCCGAGGTTAATGAGATAAGTACAATTTTTTTATGTGCTGCATTACTATTATAATGTTATGATTCACCATTTTAAATGTTTTCATCTTATATTTATCCTACTTTTATTACATATAGATAAGATGTGTTTAGTCATGTTTTGAGTCCATGCTTTTCATAAGAAACGTCCAGTATAAATAAACTTGACACAACTACCTCCTTTTGTGTTAAATCACAATGAATATCTTAATATGAGGTTTGTTTAGTTGAAGAAATGTCTCCATTACATCATTATTATGTTATGTATTGTTCTCACGTATGTTTTTTTCTATACCTCCTCTATTTCCAATTTGATCATTTCCACCTACCTACCGTTGTTCTGCCTCCGGCAGTGTCGGTGGAGAAACATTTGTGCGCTGACATTTTTGGGCCCGAGTCAGGATATAAATAGGATTTTTCCATTTTGTGCAAGACGACAGAGATCGACTGAAGCCCTCAGGGTCTTTCTTGACACTTGCTGCCCTGGTCAGTGGTGAATCATGATGCTAGCTTATTTGCCTGATTCCTGGCTGCATGGACTTTTGCATGGCCTCATGGGCTGCCGTCTCTTTGAATATATGTCACTTTTAATGTCATTCAATGTCCTGTTGAAGATGGGAATGCTGCTGTTGTACAGTCTACTGGCGCAAAGTGTTTGGTGGTTAAAGCCTTGTCATTGTTAGTGATGCTAACGCAGGGTAAAAAGGCATTTGAAGCTCACATCAGTAACAGCAACAAGTTTGCTTTGCTTTGCTTTGACACAGAATCGAAGGCACTGCATACAAAGCAGAGTGGTGATGTGCAGCATTATGAAGTACATTATAATACAATACAATAACCTGCCAACACCTCCAGAATACAAATACACAAATAAATAAAAATCATGAGGTACAGTAAGAAACCACAATAAAGAGTCATTTTCAAGTCAAAAGTACAGAAATACGGAGAAAAAAAACAAGCAAGAGAAGCAGGTTAGGTAGCGAAAGCATTTATGAAATTGAGCCTGACTGTTTTCTATTGCACCAAGAGATGATGAAATACAGTCTTTTTCAGAGTGGACAGAAATCAATGCGGATGTTCCTTGATATCCATCATTTGGACTGAAAATGAAGGATGAAGCAAAGGCCTTAATACTTGGAACACATATATACACACACATACACAATAACTTCAATATAAACAACAAGCTCTTTTTTTGAGATGTCACATTAGGGATGACATCATATTCCACAGATTAGCTAATCTATATGATGATTCCTGGTTGCCTGGAGACGGCAAAGCGACACTGCTTATGCACATCTAAAATGAAGGTGTGCACGAGCTCCAAGTTGACACATGGTCGCATCCCAAGCCAACAAACCTTCAATCATGTGCGACCTGTTTATGCACATGCAACCCAACAGGAAAACACAGACACACGGCTACAGCTCAGGAGGTTGAGTGGTTCGTCCACTAATCTAAGGGAAGGCGGGTTGGATTACCGGCTTGTCCGGTCCACATTGCCAAAGTGTCCTTGAGCAAAACACTGACGGCCAAATTGCTCATGGCAGCGTGTAAATGAGATGTGTAGCTGATAAGGCAAAGGGCCAGATATAGAAGCCCTGCGCAAATCTGTGTTTGAACGGCTGAATGGAAACCGTACTGTTCAGCGTTGTGAGTGGTCGTTAGAGCTAGAAAAGCACTTTATAAACGCAGCCCATTTACACACATACATGGACATTTGCACATGAATGATATGTGATGCACTCTTCCTCTGTCTTCTTTAATTATCATTTGGAATAAATAATCCTGCAAAAGTTACAGAGGCTTTCCAGCAAACATTGCCTCATATGGCCAGGTTTTTCCACACAACTCCCTGCTGCCCCAACTCAGAGAAAACACATCTGCTACAGAGTTCACTTCAGAGTCCCAGGGGAAAGCATGCACCTGCATCCCCCTACACACAAACACACATAAACAGACACACTCACACAACTAGCAAGTCTCTTAAATCTGTACACAGCACCAGTCTGAACTTATCACTTAAGTTAAGCACATTCAGTTGTAAAAAAACAGAAGAGCAGCAGGCCGGGACTCTTTTCGCCGCTTTGTGAGTTATCGTGAGTCGTTGGTCTCAGAGTTACCAGAGCGTTTACATCCCTGATCTGTCAAAGGGAGGAAGTGTGAGTGTTGACATAGTCTCTGTGTGTAAATATGAGGTACACAGTGCACACGATACTGTACACCACTTAATGACGTCATGCACATTTTGTCCTGTGGAAGGAGAGAAACGGGGGAAGTAACAGATGACAGACATAGAATAACACCATGCTCTGCCAGGGGAATACTAATGATGATTTATTTGTATCGGCTATCAATTTCACTTTCTCTTTTCGCCCCCATTACTGGACTTGTGCGCTGTGGCTTTTAACTCTGCATTAGTATCCAAGATTGTTACCCCGACAGTGACTCGCAGATCATTGCATGACATCAGTTAAAATAATAAATCGTGCCAGGAAATGAGTCAACTGTCGACAGCTGGCCACAGACCACATGTTTTACACAGGAATCATCTGGAGCCAGCTGGAGCGCTCTATAACGTTGGCACTGCAATTTATTTTACAGGACAGCTGTCTCCCACTTTCAAGTAGTACTTCACTTGTCTGACGCGTCTCTCATTTTGGGTCGAAGCCACCAAATAAAATAACATTGTATCCGTGTCTGGACCAAATAATATTTATCATCTGGGCTGCTTTGAGTTTGAGAGGAATTTACTGGAATCTCCTCAAGTCTTCGGTGGTAAATCTTGAGAGATTTTTTCGTTAAGTTCATGTTGCTTATTGGCAGTAAACAGCTTCTGGGCAGCGTCCCACAAACATTGGAATTTGTAAGTTTGCGCAACAGAGTCAGGTCCTGAATGAAGCCTTTATTATTGGGATAATGGAGTGACTATTCATCTTATTCCTAAAATGATCACCTTAATATCTGGATTAGCTACAATAGCAAATGGATGCTTTACTCTAACTCCCCTGTTTATAAATGCAGCCATCCAAGAGATAAACATGAGTCCTAATGAAAGAAAATTCAATGAATGGCCACTAGCCTGCCAGTGGCTAAAAATACAGGCAGCATTTCCCCTTAATCAGATTGATTAAAGTGCTCCCTGGTTGAAGCCCTCCCCCCTGAGCCATCTGGCAGATGAGTTTTCAGACTCGACTGCTGTCAACACAGCTCACCTAGGCTGCTACTGCACAGGTTAGCATGCTTTCAATGACAGCTTAAGTATGCAATGCAAGTGAGGGAAGTCACATTCAGGAATTGTTTTTTCTCACTTCCTGGTAATACTAACCTGACTGTTATATATGTTTTGCTTTTAAGTGGCAAAGATCACATATGTAGAACAAAAATTCAATGTTTTTGGGAAAGCTCAATTATTGGCTTTTCCCCCAGGTTTAAGCAGAGGGGTGTTGCAACAAGGTGAGCGAAGCAAGCAACTGCCTGGGGCCTCGAGCTGAGCGTGGCCCCCAAAACAAGCTGATGTTGTTGATCCACAACAACAAAACCTTTGTCAGAACCCCCTTAAACTACACGATCAGCTACGTACAGGGAACTGCAAAGACCCAATAGAGGTTTGGATGAGGGTAAATTTTTAAATGCATGTGTATGACGTTTCGAGAAGGGTTTGCACCTGAACTTGACTACAATTGTTTTATGTATGCACAGTATGCACTTTCTTTCGAATTTCAAGAATTGTTTGAAGGATGCATTGATGTGGTTTTCGTATAAGTTTTGTTAGATATAGTGCCTCCTGTCCCCTTTGCCCCTTGAAATACCACTGATGTCAAACTATGATTATCAGCTGCAGGCTATAGCCGTAGCAAATAGCAAATTCAATCTTCTCATCTAACACTTTTGGATATTTTTTGGGACCTCATTAAAACCTGAATCCAGGTATAAAAC